CTAGGCAGGACTGGAGAAAACTTCTGGCTACAAAGAGTCAAAAGTGTTTTTTGCCATGAAGTTAAGTTTAGTTCTGAATATGGACATATTCCTCTACTTTGACAGGAAACTAATTTGGTCTACTTTGGCAGGTCACTAAAACCTTATATATTGATAAAATGGTATAAACTGGGTTGAATCTGAAGGAAAAACCTGGTAAAGAGCAGTGGTCAGCACTCTTGGACTTAAGTTATTTTGGGGATGAGGGGTTTGAATTAATGAATCAAGTACTTCAGAAACTGTATATGCAGATTTGTACTACAGATACATTTGTACTTCACATATCCATCACAGACCTGACGTGAGGTTCATGTCTTCAGCCAATGCCAAATGCTTTGCATCAACAAGGTTGATATACCTAATAACATGAGAAAAGATAGAAAATGATCTCAGGGAAGGTGGTAGGTTCTAGAATGTATAGGAGGGATAGGGGAAATAAGTATGGAAAGCAGAGAAGATGTGATGTCAAGATTTGAAATGTGTTATTATTGGTGAAATTATTAAGGCCACTCCACATAGTTAAAAGGGAGATTTATTTAATGGTGTAACTTACAAATGAAGGGATAGGTAGGTGGCGGGTTTTGGGGAAAGACACAGCGCAGTCCTGCGGTGTTCTCTGGAGAACTCTCCTCAGTCTACCTCTCGTGTCCACGGTCCAAGCAGCAAGAGAGCGTGGCGCATTCTCATCTCTGGTCTTCAGGGCCCTCCCTTGGCCCCACCTTGTAGGCGTGATAGTTACTGAAGCCTCAATGGGGGTTGGAACTTCCAGACCAAAGCTGGAATGACTACCCACTACATGTTATAGAAAAATTTTCTAGCTGAATGAGAGAATGAGAGCCCTCCCCATTCTCTCTCAGATAAAGGCAGAAAATTACTTGCCGTGCAGAAAAATGATGCTGTTGGTTCAGCACCAGGTAGAAGAATCCAGGTAATATGAGGGCATGCTGGAGACCACAAACATGAGAAGCAGAGAGAGTACTTGAGCAGGTAGAAAGTTGGCTGGTGAGAGCCCCTCTTTTCCAGGTCTCTCTGATCCTTACCATAAAGGTTAAAAGTATAGTCTCCAAGTCAGACTGCCAAAATGTGCAACTTGCTTCTACTGTGTCTCTATTTTCTTATCCTTAAAATGGGCATGATAATACTGCCTACCTCTTAGGTACTTTAAAATATGCAATGTATGCAAAAGTAACTAAAACTAGGAGTGGATCCTGCAATGCTAAAGGTGTGTTAGCTACTAATTTGAAAACTAGTAAGTAGTCTTGCAATGCATTGTCATTTATTTAGGAGTTAGTACCTAAACAGGGAATAGTGCAGCCCCTGGTTCTTCAAGCTCCCTAAAGTCCTCAGAAGAGGTACAAACAAGGACTTTAGCCTTTACCTCTTCTTTCAGATATTCGTAAACTGTCAACCAAGACAAATGATGTTTCTAAGATAAAATATGTCAAAGAGAAATGGTCACAATACACCTACATGTGTTTCCCTTAAAATATAAAGTATATTACACACATTTTATTAACATAAGTTGTTATAGTCTTTAACTATCCATCCGTAAAATTCTCCATGATTGCTTTAGGTGATTTTAAAAATATTAGTTCCTTGATAATTTCATACAATGTGTTTTGATCATATTTGCTCCTCACCCAACTCCTTCCAGATCCAGCTGCTGATTCCTACACACCCAACTTTGGGTCTTATTTATTTTTAAATCCATCAGATCTAATTTTTGCTGCCTATATATTCCTGGATGTGTGGAACTTTAACTTACCAGGGATTATATGTTAAAGAAAACTGACTTTCTCTATCTCCCAGAAGCTATCAAGTACCCAAACTCCTCAGCAAGCGGTGGGACTTTCTGCCTACATGTCCTCTCCATGCCAGGATTTGGTTTGGCTTGAGAAATCTTGTGCATGCTGTCATATCTGCTGTGAGTTCATATGTGCTACTGTCTTGTTGTGTCTAGGAAAACATTGCTTGCTTGCTTTTCATCTATAACATTTGACTCTTATATTCTCTGTATCTTCTTCCACAAGCATTCTTGAGCCTTGGAAGGAGGAAGGAGGGCATGTAATATAGAAGTTTCATTAGATCCAAGTGCTTGGCAGTCTCTTATTCTAGGTATTGTGATTATTTGATGATCTCTGAGCCTTGGAAGTTATACAAGTTTACCAAAATGTAAATTAGACAGACTCTTATTTAAAACAAGTAAGGAAATAGTCATATTAGAATATCAAAAATTTGGGAAATATAGAATTAAACAATGAAAAACATTTTGAAGATGTTGGGAATGAAAAAATATAATTGTTAACACAAGAAACCCAAAATCATTAGGATCACAGAGTGGGCATAGCTACAGGATGGGGAAAGAATGGAATGAAAGACCAGGTCAAGAACTCTCCTAGCATGGTGTGGGAAAGGTACTCTGCATGATAGTGGAGGAGAGAAGTAATTATCAATATCACCCACCTACAAACTCTGTGACCCACAACAGTGATACCTACAAGATATACTGATGCATAGTACAACTGTTGTAGAAGTAACCAACCAATTTTAAATATTGGATTTAAGATCCACTCCAGGAGATGGAATCCATACATGACATTGCTAAAGTGGCCAAGAACCTTAGACTAGATAGGTCATGGGCCTAGATGAAAAGCTACTACTATTATTCTGCTAAAGGAACATTGCAATAAAATAACTCCTAATGACATACTGATATATCCATAGATGCACTCAGTCCTCATCAGAGAAAATTCTTCTTGCAGTATATGGAAATCAACAAAGAGACACGCAGCTGTACAGTGTGTAGATAGTGATAGACTTTGGAGCACTTGGCCTTAAATGATGTGTCTTTATCAACTCCCTCCACTTAAGTATCAGAGATCATTGTGAAGGAGAAGAGAGAAAAGTGTTGAGTCAAAGGTGGTGAATGACTATAAGGAAACAGCATCTTCTAGATACATATGAACTCACAGAGACAATAGTAGTATGTACAGGATGCACACAGGTTTGAACAAGGCAAAAATATTGTCACTGAGAAGGTAAATTGGACATAAAGTTCCATGTAGCTGGAGTTTCCTCTCCAGGTCCCACCAATCCCCGGCAGTCTGATAGTCCACTTATAAAATAAACACACAGATGCTTTTATTATTTAAACTGTTTGGCCTAATGGCTCAGGCTTCTTGTTAACTGTTCTTATATCTTAAATTAACCCATTTCTATAATTGTCTATAAGTTGTCATGTGGCGGGTGGCTTACCGGCATCTTTACATGTTGCTTGTCATGGTGGTGGCTCACAGTGTCTCTCTGCCTCAGCCTTCCACTTCCCAGAATTCTCTTCTCTGCTTGTCCCACCTATACTTCTTGCCTGGCTACTGGCCAATCAGTGTTTTATTTATTAACCAATCAGAGCAACACATTTGACATACAGAACATCCCACAGCAGTTCCACCCCTAACCAAGAAGCTATTTGGAACTGATATCTTCTGGGAAAGAGAACATCATTTTTCTCTAGTGGAGTGTCACTGAGTATATCAACTACACTCCAGGACAGGTCCCATGCACTGCAGGAGTAGTTGGCCAGCACATGATTGACTCCATGGTCCTTTTGTTTTGTAGGATTTTTAATTCTTTTTGTTTTGGTATTTTTTGTCTTATGGTTTTTTGTTTGTTTCAATTTTCAATGTTTTATTTTTCTCAAGAAGGGGGGAGAGAAAGAGAGAGATAAAGAAAATGAAGTTGGGTAGGAAAAGAGGTGTAAAAGATGTGAAAAGGAATTAAAGAAAAGCTTAGAGCCAGGTGTGGTGGTGCATGCCTTTAATTCCAGCACTCCAGAGGCATGGGATGGTGGATCTCTGAGTTTGAGACTATCTTAGATCTACAGATCCAGTTTCAGGACATCCAAACTTAGGCAGTGAAGAAAACTATCAAAAAAAGAAACCTGGTGAAGATGTAATTGAATAAGAGGGCCATGTTCCAGCCCTCATAAGCAGCAGAACTTGGCAGTTTCAGCCTTGTAGTTCTAGATTTAAGGGTAGAAGAAAGGGGTTGTGGAATTTGCCCCCACAACTAAGGAAAGCTGCTGAGGCCAGGCATGTGTCAGGGGTATTCCTGAATGGAGGCCTAGAGAGGCCTTTATGTGAAGCTGTGGAGGTGAAGCCTGGATTACCTTAGAGATCCTAAGATGTTGGAGTTACCAGAGCCATGTGATACCTTCCAAAGAAAGCTGCTAATAGGGAGTAGAACCCACCCAAGAGAAAGAAGTATGTTGCAGTCAACAAGCTGGAAGGAGTTGGAGATCTGGAGTATTTTGACTCAGACATGGAGATGCAGAGTCTGGAGTTTGCCCAGCCGGTTTTTGGCTAAACTTTGTCTAATATTTCCTCACTTTGCTCCCTTTCCTATGTTTTCGAACAGTAGTTCCAAAATATTCTGTTCCATTATATGTTGGAAGTATATGATCTGTTTTTTAATTTTGATTTCACAATGGATTACTGTTAAGAGATTGCATGAATCTCAGAGGAGACTTTGAATTTAGACTTTTAAATAAATTTGAAACTGTTACAGACTATGGGGACTTTTGAAGTTGGACTGAATGAATTTTTGCATTATGATATGGCTACAAGCCTTTGGGAGTCAGGAAGTGGAATGTGGTAGTTTGAAAGAAAATGGCCCCCAAAAGGAGTTGCACTATTAGGAGATGTGACTTTGTTAAAGTAGGTATGGAATTGTTGATAAAGTTTGTACTGTGGAGGTGGGCTTTGAGGTCTCATATATGTTCAAGCCATGCCCAGTGTCTCAGACCACTTCCTGTTGCCTGGCAAGATGTAGACCTCTGAACTACCTCTCTAGCACCATGTCTTCCCGCATACTGCCATGTTCTGCCATGATGATAATGGACTAACCCTCTGAAACTGTAAGCCACTCCAATTAAATGTTTTCCTTTATAAGAATTCCTGGGAGGTAGGAACCCGGATTCCAGAAGCAGCTGGGTGGGCACCATGGCCGGGATCACCACCATCCAGGCGGTGAAGCGCAAGATCCAGGTTCTGCAGCAGCAGGCGGATGATGCGGAGGAGAGGGCCGAGCGCCTCCAGCGGGAAGTGGAGGGAGAGAAAGGCGGGCCGGGAGCAGGCTGAAGCTGAGGTGGCCTCCTTGAACCGTAGGATCCAGCTGGTTGAAGAGGAGCTGGACCGTGCTCAGGAGCGTCTCGCTACTGCCCTGCAGAAGCTAGAGGAAGCAGAAAAAGCTGCTGATGAGAGTGAGAGAGGTATGAAGGTGATTGAAAACCGAGCTCTAAAAGATGAAGAAAAGATGGAACTCCAGGAAATCCAGCTAAAGGAAGCGAAGCACATTGCAGAAGAGGCAGACAGGAAGTATGAAGAGGTGGCTCGTAAGTTGGTGATTATTGAAGGAGACTTGGAACGCACCGAGGAACGAGCAGAGCTGGCAGAGTCCCGTTGCCGAGAGATGGATGAGCAGATCAGACTGATGGACCAGAATCTGAAGTGTCTGAGTGCTGCTGAAGAAAAGTACTCTCAAAAAGAAGACAAGTATGAAGAGGAAATAAAGATTCTTACTGATAAACTTAAGGAGGCAGAGACCCGTGCTGAGTTTGCTGAAAGATCGGTAGCCAAACTGGAGAAGACCATCGATGACTTGGAAGATAAGCTGAAGTGCACCAAAGAGGAGCACCTCTGTACACAAAGGATGCTGGACCAGACCCTGCTGGACCTGAATGAGATGTAGAGCATCCCCAGTCCCTGCCCTGCAGCTGCTCCTCCCTCTGACCCTGACTCCGTCTGAGGCCAGCCTGCCTGAAGCTGACCTTGACACTGAGGGCTGATCTTTTTAACTGAAGGCTGCTTTCCCCTCCTGCCACCAACCCCCACCCCATGTCTTTTTCATAAAACTGTGTCAGCCTCTTCCCAGAGTTCCAGCTGGAGGGACTGAGCACCTTTGGAAACAATATTTAAGGGAATGTGAGCACAATGCAAAGTGTCTTCAGGGCACTTGTGATTACTCTTTGTCTTAGCAACCATTTGTAACATTCCAAGCACTTCCACAGCTTGGAGCAGCAAGCCAGTTCCTTTTCACTGTTGGAAGGTGACATTTCGGCCTAATGGATACTGCTGTCTCCATAGAGGAGGAACACAGGACTGGGCCTGCCTTGCTGACGGCCAGCAGAGCCCAGGCAGGCTCCACTGTGGGAAACCTCAGTTCTGTGTACCAAGTTCTAGCCAAACGACAGGGGATTGATTCTAGGAAGTTAGCCAAAAAACAAAAACTTCTTCCGGGCTGTGAAGGTTTTCAGCTTTGATGTCTTTGGACAACTTTAATCTTGTTTTTATTCTTTACTTTTTCCATCAGATGTGACCAAATAAGACGGTGAGACGTCTGAGGCACCCCCCCTCCCAGGGCCTTGTGCATGTTAGGCAAGCGTGCTCTTGTGCAGCCCCCGCCCTGAGACCAAGCTTGTCTCACCGTGCCCCCCCCCCCTTTCCTGACTGCTCACAAAATGGATCATGTTGCCCCTTAGTGTCAGGTGACCACCTAGTGTTCACCTGCCCCGAGGGAGAAAGCAAAGGAAAATGCTGTCCGTGCCACTGAGGTAGCTACACGAAAGTCATCTCATTGTCCTTTCCTGAAGCTGCTGTCTCTAAAAGTGCCATCTCATTGTGCTCTGTGTCAGTCAGTGCTGGAGAAATCTTGAATAGCTCATGTAAAACAACTTTTTAAAATTTTATATTATTTTGAAATTTTGCTTTTGGGGGGTTGGGTTATCTTGGTCAACCCATTGGCTGTGAGAATTGTTGCAGTCCGTGGGCTGGTGGTGTGCCGATCTTTCGAGTGTCCCCACCCAATTGCCATGTCCAGGTGGTCTCTCGAGGCCTCTCAGGTGGACACGCTGCAGCTTACTGGCTTATTTGTACTCTCCTCTGTCGGGAGAAAGAACCCCATAGTGCAACTGTTTTGATACTGAATATCAACAACTATTTTGAAATAACTAACATTTTGAAATAAAGAACCAGTCCCTCCACCCTCAAAAAAAAAAAAAAAAAAAAAAAAAAAGAATTCCTGTGGTCATGGTGTCTCTACAAAGAAATAGAAACCCTATCTAAGACAGGTTTATGGTTACTGCTTATTGCTTTCATTAGGTCTACAGTAAAGAGAGAAAAAAATATAGCATAATGATCAGAAACCTATGAATTTTGGTGTAGAAAATGGGTGAGCAACTTTAAATTTTGGGTACCGAAGGTGTAGACAACAGAGAATTTGTTAAAGAAATTAGAATCATAAAAGGGAGACCTGGCGCTTTACATGAGGTCAACATGATGGGAGTTCCTCGAGCTTCATTCCATACACCAAAGTCTCTGTCTTGTGAAAATGCAAACTGATTTGAAAGGAAAGAGCCTACATTGGCAATGCTGCTGAATGGGTTCCCTGCTTCTCAAAAATAAGCATGTGGGATGCCCAAGGTCAGCACAGAGAAGTGATGCAACTGTGCTACAAGCTGGTCAGGATTTGGCAGCATCTGCATGTGGTACTGATTTTTTAGACACAAGAGATGCAGGATTGAGGGGGTCTTGGGACTATGGTTACAGAGCGCTTATGAGACAATGCATTGCATGGTTACACTGGAATTCCTACAAGAAAGCACAGGGCAGCGACTGTGTGAAGCTGTGAAAGAAAAGTCTAAGCATGAGCATTCCTGCTTCCTGAATACAGATACCTTGTGACCACCTGCTTACTGCTCCAGCTGCCATACCTTGCCTGCCATGACAGACTATCTCCTGAAACCATAACACAAAACACTAAACAAACCTCCTTCATTGCTTAATGTTGAGGAATATTATTTTAAAGTGTGTTGCATTTTTTTCCTACTGCTTTTGTTAACAATTCAAAGATGTGTTTGATTAAATAAAATTACCTGTAAGCAGGAGGCTGAGTCAGCAAGTAGTTGACAGGAATTAGAAAGGAGGAACCACATGTAGCAAGGGTCTTTTTATGCGGGGACTGAGAGGACACTGGGTTTTTGGAAGACACCAGCAAAGGGAGACGGTTAGCTTACTTGCTATTCATCCTCTCTGAGTGAGCAGAATTCCACCTAAACCATTCAACTGTGAGTTCTTTAGATGTAGATAAGTTCTTTTAGAAGCTTTGAAAGAGTCAGTGCCTGAGGGGACAAAATTCCCTCAGGCTGTGGCCCTTGTGGTCAAAGCTGTTGCTTAAGGGACAGCCACTGTAGATAATAAAAAACAGATAACAATACTTCAACTTACTTTTGTCCAATATTTTGTTGTAGCTAGGAGACAAGTACCTAACACAACCTGTAACCACAGTCATGCCTTTCAATCTCAGCCATGTCTACATGGGTTCCTGCTCATTTCAACATCATAGAGTTCAAGACAATGTCTCTTTGGAGTGAAGAGATGAATGACGGTTATGAATCATAAATCTGAAGTCCAACAAGAAGATATTTTGAGGTCTGAGCTCCATAGGAAAGGCAAAAATGATCAAAATTCTACCCTTGTTATCTGGAAACATAGAACATAAAAAAATTAAAAAATATTTGAGTGAGGGCTAGTCTTAAAAGTAATATGAGCCGGGCAGCCATGGTGCATGTCTTTAATCCCAGCACTTGGGAGGCAGAGGCAGGTGGATCTTTATGAGTTTGAGGCCAGCTTGGACTACAGAGTTCCAGGAAAGGCGCAAAGCTACACAGAGAAACCCTGTCTCAAAAAAACAATAATAATATGATGATGATGATATATTTTTGGATGTCTCTAAAGATCTAAAACTGTTCATAAAACAATTGGGTCATGGTGATAAAGTTCAGGGAACAGTTAAACCTAGAGCTACAGTTGACCCAGTGGTTACAGCTAGATGACCTAGGAAGAGTGAACAGCATGAGAAGATGTTAGACTAAGTGTGCCTCATTAAAAATAAATAAATGATTTGAGATAGCAAAAGAGCCAGTAGAGAAGAAATACAAACAAGGGCTAAATTCTTCAGAGATTCTAAAAGGAAAATAGTGTCTGGGAATCATTTTATAGAACTTAAGGATAGGATGTTAGAATAATTTGGCATATCTTAAAATAATTTGATTATAAGTTGAAGAAAGTAAACCATTGTTTCAGAAAATCCAGGGTATGAAAACTGACCACCAAAGTCAGAAGGAATGGAGAGACCAAAGAAAGAAACACAATCCAAACTGCACAGAATTCAATTTATTAGGGATTTTCAGGCAGAAGTCAGGCCTGGGTGATGGAAAGAAAAAAGATCCCTATAATCTGAGGCAGGAGGATGGGGCTCAAATGCTAAACTGGACAAGGGTGGGTTAAGCCCCATGGGAACATGTGTTGCCTTTCTCCAAAATGATTTACATATCAAACTCCAGTTAAGAAGAAGTCTGGGAAATTTTGGGACAATATTCTCAGCTGCCCAAACTAACCTTGTTTATCCTAAGGGTTCCAGATATGCTGCAGAGTGGGAAAAATGACTGGGATGACTATTTTGGATCAAGCTGGGTACCTATACTCAGATTATAATAATGTGAGAAATGTATAGGAGACCAGCAGAGAAGTTACCTTAGCCATGAAGTGAGTGTACACGTGGAGGTGAGTGGACTTCTCTTTAATTTCATCATTAACATTTGACTTTTAACTTTAATATCACAGCAGCATCATACAATGAAATAAAAAACTTAACATCCTCTAAAGCTGTGATTTTCAATCTGTGGGTTGCAACCCCTTTGGGGTTGAATGAGCCTTTCACAGGGGTTGCATATCAGATATCCTGTATATCAGATATTTACATTATGATTCAGAAAGCAGCAGAATTACAGTTATGAAGTAGAAACAAAAACAATTTTGTGGTGGTTGGGGGTCACCACAACATGAGGAGCTATATTAAAGGGTCTCAGCATTAGGGAGGTTGAGAAACACTGTTCTAAAGTCTCTCTCAGAAGAATCAGTGAGAAGCAGATTTTTACTGCTTATGAATGAGAAAGTATCACTTATAATGGAGGCATTTAGATGTTTGGCTCATCAGCTGCTTAGATGGATTGAACATCTGTAGACTCTATCATTGTCAATAGGGTGCTTCCAAGAGCCCAACATAAGGTAATTTATGACTAGGTAAGTTTTAGCCAGTGCTGGGTTCTCTAAATCTCATCTAGTAGAGACTGCTCTTCCCATTCACCTTCCCCCTGATCACTCTTTTTTCCCACTTACTTCATTTTGTTTGAATATAAAATTATATGTACATGTATTTATCACTCTGTAAAGCTATAGTATTTTTTATTTATATAAGTTATATTTCTTTACTTGCTATGAATTTCAACTCAAATTAACTTGCAATTTAATTGTCATCTGGGAAAGAAAGGGCTGGTGTCAGATGGGTTCACTGTAGCACTGGTTGGTTTCCTTCCCTGCAGCATTCAGTGCAATGATTTAGTACATAAACTTTTCATACACTTCCAGTTGTGTTGGTGCTGCTGCTGCCAAGACCACCTATGATGCTGATGAAGCTGCAGGAGAATGCCTTGATAGCATCCATTCTTTTCTTCTCGGCTTTAGCTCTCTATGGTCTACAATGTTTATGCTATTTAGGCCCTGCATATAGTTAACTCTCTCACTCACTCATCCACTGACTGAATTAGAAGACATTTCTTGAGCACCTCCTACCTTCCAGACCCTAGAAAATGTGTTCCTGTAAATGACTGCAGCGACCAAAAAGTCTGTCACTTTCCCTGTGACAATCATGCTATATCCCCTGGCCTAATTTAACCCGCTGTTGTTCTGACTCACAAGTTCCCCCTTTCTTAGGAGAAACAACCCAGTATTCCAGGAAGTTTTTATATAAAAGAACTGTGCTCTAAAGTTTTGTATATTTTCTGAAGCAATATAAGCAAAGACAGTAGAGTTACAAAAGAGAATGTCAGTGGTGCTGGGACGGTCGGAAGATTTCAGAAAGAGCAGAGCACTAGGAAAACGGAAATGTCTATTCTGT